TTTCATATATAATTTTTATATAATTTATATATTTTTTAAATAGGTCCAAACTGTTTAACTCCATGGAAGTCTCAAGAGGCTGAAATAGCGGATCTCCCCAGTAAGGTGCTGCTTCATTATACCCCAAAGGTATTAAAGCAACATATAATTTCTCTTTGATTGCATGGTGTGCAGTAATTTCAGAATATGTTCTAGAGGGTCTCTTTTTTGCTTTGCTATTGCTGTTTCGTAGAACAGGTGAGCATGCCATCTTTACACTGTGGTTATTATGGGAAGATGAGGAGCAGTGAGAGCTTTTAGACTGTGATCTTGTGCAGAGATAGTAGGTTTTGTTCTTGTTTGGCAAAAGGACAAAATTATCTTGTACAATTGTGAATATCAAATCTAAGATAACATATATAATGTTCCAGGGGTTCCAAATTGTTTAAATACTTTAATATCAACCCAATGGCACTAACTTCCTGAAATATATTATGCATAATTTAGAAATCTTATGGGTTCAGGGATTTGTAACTTGTTTCCTAAATTATATTGTAGCCTCTTTGTTTGTTTAACAGGCCTGCAGAAACCCAATTTGTCTTGACCTGTCTGCAAATCTTTTACATGGAAGACTAACTGGAAACAAAGTAGTGAACTGGGACATCAAGGTAAATGCATACTGAAGAAGCAGAACCTGATTTAAATATGATAGCAGTTGTACACATTCACCTAACTTTTGGAATGCCAGAAGTTGTTATCATAATGCACATACAGCATGTTTTTGTAATGAGAATTAATGGGTTAATGCTGTAGCTGGAGTAGTGTTACATTGCTTTTATTGAGAATTTACAAGGGCTACTGCTCTTAATGATAATGCGTTAAGATATTTTGTGGTAGCTGACTACTCTTCGTAATCTGTTCAATGCATGTTGTGTATTGAAAGCATTTTATCATCTCTAGGGGATTCTGTCATGGTTTTCTTGCAGTCTTAAACTCTGAATTTTAGATTAAGATTAGTAGGATTAAGTTAACACTTGTGACTTTTGCGGTGTTAGTCATATTAAAAAAATTATTGAATTGCAGACTAACTTCATCAGAAAACAAGGTGTGGGGTTAAAATATTACAAGAATCTAGCATTTCTGTAAGAGATAAGTTAATTGAGTTATTTTATTTAGTTTTGTTTTGGGCTTGGCAGGACTAGATGATCTCGCAGTCCAAAAGCCTCACTTCAGAGAAAATGCCTAATATTCACTGAAGTGTTATACCTTCTTCTGTCTCTGCTCTACACTAACTGTCCAATATTTTTTTCCTTATTGTTGGATATATTGGGATATCTGATTCTTACAGGCTATGCAAATCATCTTCGTTTAACTTTTGCTAGCAGTTGTAACCACAGCACTACTGTTATATTAGTATTGGAGCTTAAAATTTAACATTTGCTGGCTAAATCTGTTTCTAGTCTCCTGCTCAAGCATTCTGTTATAGCAAAATTGTCCTATTTTTAGTTTTTGTTTTGTTTTCTTAACCAACACATAGGGTTCTTATGTCCTTCTGGTTAATCAGTTAATTTCTTAGTCTCGTGCCACTGACAGTTTAGATCTGACTTTATACTGTAGAATTAAAACTCACAATATTGTCAACTCAACACTGACAACAAGATTTAGTATTAGTGGTTTAGACTTTCTTGGTGCTCCCCGAACAGAATACTATTTAGGCAAGTTATATGTCCATTAGATACCTCCTGTGTAAAACAGCAAGTGGTCTTCTACTTGCTAGTTCATGGAGAGTAGGAAACCATGAAATGAAAACCAGCTTAATAAATACCTCTCTGTACCTGTCTGCTTATTTGTTCCCTGATCACTGATACATATGAAAAATCAAAGTCAGGCTTAGCTCTGTGCATGAGGAAATCGGGTTGTTTGCAGCGTCAGAGTTTGATCTGGAAACAGTGACATGAATGAGGGTTTGTTTCTTTTAAATTTGGATAGAATACATCCAATTCTGTTTTATAGGCAGAATCTTTGAAGGGCTCTTAGCTTTGAGACAAAATAAAATCCAAGGTCTTGTCAGTAGAATACCACGTTCTTCTTTTTTTTGTCTTGAGGAAAAATGCATGAACAAATAAATATGAGCTGCTTTTTTTTTTTTTAAGAACAGTGAACAATCAACTCTACTAGCAAACTAATTAATAAGGAAATTGTGGGAAGAGGGTGGGTGAGGAGTGTTTACATCTCTAGCTTTATATTGTGAGTACAAGTTGTAGGAGAATCATTCATTAACCAACATGATGGGGTTTAGCACCCTCTTGAGGAAGACTACATTGAGGAAGAAACACAAGAGTTGACCAGGAGCTCATGGGGAGATAGGTACAGCCTAGAAGGAGCTATAGTTACTGCTATCTTGTGGTTCAGACAAATTCTGGTTTTCAGCTTTAAGCTGATTTCTGTTTCCAAAAGCTGCAGGTCTGTGGTGCCTCTTGTTTTGCTAAACAAACATATCAATCTTCATCCATGAGATAAATTTTGCATATTTAAAAAACTTCCTTAATTTAACTGCTCGATTTTGTTAAATTCACCTCAATAAATGTGGGCTGGAGAGGCATCGTCATAAAGGCACATGTCGGAGAGTAACAACTGAAAAAGAAAATGATGGAGAAGAAAAGGATGGCTTTCTCCACTTCTCCCCAGCATTTCTGACTGGGAAGGGAGAGTGATATCCCATGTTAATAGGCTGGATTACAGGATGTTGGGTTTTTTGGCAGTTAAAATTTTACTACACAAAGTTTTCAATTGGACTAAGTTGGGCAGCTGAATAAGTGTCTCTGGCTAGCTTGCCAAGACCATGATTTTCTAAGTGGCATTGTGAATAACTTCTAGAAGTCTTGTGATTTGAGTGTGTTCAACCTTACCACAAGAAGCATTGTTTCAAGTCTCATGCTATCTCTGCTTGTGAGGAGGGTGAACAAAAGGGGTCTTAGGAGACTTGAATTTCAAAAAGAGACTTAAATTTGAGCTATGTGTAAAGTTACTTCAAAAAAAATCAAATTTTCTTATTTTTTAACTGCCTGAAATTCAAATCTTACAGGAATATTACTAAAGCACAGATATGTATAATCTTTTCTTACTGCTTGCTGCAATTAACTTAGAAATTGGAAAAATGTTTTTCAAATATATTTTGCAGAAGATTCATTCTAAGACTTGTATCCTTCAGTTTCCCGTGGGGGAGGAGGAAGGAAATGTAAAAGTGCGCTTTCAAAACAAGAGCTGACCAGAAGGTGTGTGTGTAATTGCAGCATCTAAAACTTGGGCAGCTCTGTTGTTAAACACAGTGTTTTAAACTAGTTTCAAAGTGGCATGTGAAACGTTCTGATGACTTTGTGAGTATGTAAGGTTCCTTGTATTTGGAGTAAATTTCTGTTACGTAGTTTAGGGGGCTTTATTTATGGTTATGTTTATCTTCCATTTTCTCTTGATTTAGGATATGATCAACTGTATTGGCGGAGTAAATGTGCTGTTTCCATTGCTGGAGCAGATCAGTTTTCTTGGTGGACAGATGCATGAGAAGTCTGAAGGGGAAACTCTACCTCCAGAACTAGTTACTCCTGTAGAGGGAGACTGGGTGGTATTGTCATCCACAAAGGCATCAGGTAGGAAAGTATGGTTGAATTGAAATTATTTTTAAGCTTGATTTTCAGAGTCTTCCTCTGAATGATAGAAAGCTGTTTTATTATGTGCTGGCTTTTCCAGAGTACCTATGTAAAGCTGAAAGGCTCTTTCTGTTCTCGGTGTCTGACATGTATACTGAATACCTGGAGTTCAGCACTATGTAAAATTAACTTACTAACTTATTTCAGATATAGCTGTGTTTAATAGTGTTACTTTACTTTTCATTATTTACTATTATATTAGTGTAAAGTATGCAGTTTTAAAATTTCTATTCTGAGAAGTTTGTTCTGATTATTTTGAGAAGTTAGGTTTGATGTAAAGCCTGCTAATATCAATAGGAGGAGCTTTCCTACAACTTGAGTGCTAGGTCAGACAGGCATGCTAAGACTTTGCAGCATCAGAACAGTACTGTTTAGCCTTTAGCCAACCTTGTCTTTTCTTAGGAAAATGTTCAGACTCCTGCCTCTTCCACAGTGCAGTCAGATTTTAGTATTAAAATAAAAAAGATATGGAAAGGAAGCTTTAAGAATAGATTTTTAAAAACTGTGCTAATATTCAGAATGAACTTTGATCTTAACAGAAACCACTGGGAAATCAGACATTGAAAGGGAAAACAGCATTTTTTTGTTTCAGATACGAAATGCTGAAGTAAAAAAATATATCTTTGTCTCTTGATTTTTTGCGTAATGGCTAGAAAGTGTCAGTTTGCAGCTACAGAGGGGGGAATAACTGCAGGATATGTAAAAGATTGTTACTGAAAGAGAAGTTGGTCTGTAACCTACAGCAAGATGGATGAAGCAACTGAGTCAGGACAGGGGTCACTTTGTTCTGGAGAGGCGTGTAATGACTATGACGCTGCACTGGAAAAATCTAAAGACAACCTACAGCTAGAAAAGGAGTTCAGGAGGTAGTGAGGAGTATGACACTCGATTTTACTTCTTCCCCTGTACTTTTATGCAGTGGTCCAACAATAAACCATGAGGCTTTTGCTACTGTTCTGTTTTGCAGAAGCGCGCCTGGAGAAGAACGTTGTTGCAACTTTCATCTTGATGATAAAACACTTTATTCAGAGACACCATGTTAATCAAGAAAACCTCATTCACTCCCATGGAGTTGCCACTTTAGGAGCCTTGTTACAGAAGGTGAGCAAATTCGAGAAACATCTCTTAGCAATGGATGTTGTGGTTGAGGTCCTGATTACTTGGAAACATTCTTGGTTTGGCCAAGATGCCGAGGGTCTTCAATGTCTTAGTACATGCTTTTCTTTCTCATGCTTCTGAAAAAAAAAAGGTGTGAGGGGTTGGTCTTCGTCTGCAAAATGAAACATGGTGTTTTGGTTTTTTTCATGTTCTGCTTTTTTTGTTATAGGTACTGTCTTGTATGATTCTTCAAACTAGACTGGTTTTATGTTTCTTGTAGTGCCTTAATAGAAGCAGACATTGCTGTGGAAGATAAAAGAATCTCAGAATTTGATTTATGAAAAATTAAGTTTACTAGAATAGTCAGTATCAGAGTGCTAACACCCGTTGTTATGTTGAAAGGTGCCAAGCAACTTAATGGATGTGAATGTACTGATGGCTGTACAGTTGTTGATAGAACAAGTCTCAGTAGAAAAGAACATGCAGCTTTTGCAAGAGATGTATCAATACTTGCTTTTTGACTTCAGTATCTGGAACAGTGGAGACTTCCCCTTCAGAATTGGTGAGCTATTGGACTTCGGTAACTTTGCAAAGACACAGTACTTTTCACCTGGCATTCATCTTTGTCTAGGTTCTAATAGAAAACTTTATTGTAGGGCATATACAATATCTATCTACAATCATCAAAGACAGCAGAAGACTCTTCAGAAAGAAATATGGTGTGCAGTTTCTTCTAGACACACTGAGGATTTATTATGGGTATGAGTTTTACCTCTTCTAACTCCTCATTTACTGTATGTGACTGTTGATTTTTCTTCCCCATCATCCTAGTGAGAAAATCAATAAATAAAACTGCAGGTTAGCTTTTGGTGGTTGATTTCATTTTCAAAGTTGCATTAATTTTTTTTTTCCATTTGACATGCTAATTTTCCTTGACTTTGATTTTTATGATAGGATTATATAAAGTTTATGTCAATGATACTAGAAATGCTTGAGAAAGTCATTAAAATTGTAAAATCAAAGGACTTGTTAACAACAATGCAAATTAAGTCATAGATCATTACTATCATGAAAAGAGAGGATGTTTATCTAAGCTGTATTTTTTTCTTTTGTATACCTGTAGAATTTGAAGTATGACTTTTTTAGGAATTAAAAATATTAGCTTTCAGTCTTGGTGATATATATCTACTTACGAATATAGTTATGTCATTGAGGAAGATTAGCTAGAGACCTTGCTCTTTCATGTAGAGGGTAGGAGCGGGTAGCCTGAAATCCTGCCCTGTATCCAGATCAGTGCAAGTCTACATTTCAGACCCTTTATAGACTTTGTAAGTCTACTATTGGTTATTACTGTTCAGCTGCCTTACTTCAGTAAAAATTGATAGCTATGATATTTGGGTACATGAAAAACTACAAAACTAGCACATCAAATTGCTATTAGTGAGTCATGAAGAACTTCCTTAGGTTACTCTTCCTGCCTCTTGCTGTGTAGGAGTGGCTGTAAAGACAGTGATTTGGCTCCTGATGACCTGAGAACCATACGGACGTCCCTCTATGGACTGATCAAATATTTCCTGAGCAAAGGTGGAACACATGAAGAAATACAGAGCATCATAGGATACATAGCTGCTACCAATGACGAGGAACAGGTATCCAGTATGGCATAAGTTAATAGTTCAAGCTGTACGTGTTTTGGGTTTGCTTCTTGGTGTTTAGAAATCTTGTGTCTTGTACGCTTACAAGAGAGGGGAACAAAAAAGACCACAAGCCAAGTGTTATTTGATGTGTCGTTCTCTTTAGAGGTGGCTGAGGCAGGTTCTAGAAGCACACTGGAAACTTGACAAAGTGCTCTGTGGGTGGCCATAGTTTTACCTGCTTTTTTTCCCCATGGAAGCAGGCAGAAAGCACATGATGTATAATACTCCCATTAGAAAAATTCTCTTAGTTTTCAAAACCAAGTGAATTGGACTTCAACTGATTAGAAGTTGTAATGATGCAGTTTCTATTTTGTGGACATCAACAGAATATGAACTTGCTTTGTAGCTCTAATTGGAGTTTGATAAGGTATTCTGTATAAAATTGTATAAGAAAAAATCTGATTTTAAATGCAGTAATATTGAGCAGACAATACATCTGTTTTATCACAAGCAAAGGGTAAAATTTAAAAGCCAAGAAAACTTTCCCGAAACAGAACATGAAGTCTGAATGAACTGTGGATTAATGTAGTCCTCTTCATTTTGTAGCTCTGTGGAATTCTAGACATTCTCTTCAGCCTACTTCATTCCAGCCCAACACCAGACCAGCTTTTTTTATTGCTTTTTGAACCAGGGAATGCTGATATTCTTTATGCTCTGTTACTGCATCAGAGATACTCTGACAGGCTTAGAGAACTTGTGTTCAAGGTAATGAATTTAATTATATGTTCTTAAATTAATCAAGTGAACGTAAACTTGTATTTTTCAATGGTCTATCTACAGAAGTGTATGCAATTGCAAAGATACTAATAATCCAAGTTTTAATTTTTTCTTCTCTCTTATGTTACATAGATACTGCCATAGTCACAATGGAATTACTGTTCTCTTGGAGTATTGGGCTCTCTTATTAAAAAAAAAGTCTGTGTTGTTTGAGTTCATTTCTAAAGTTTGCTTTGTGAGCTATAGACCAGCATGTTATATCATCTAGATATAACTATATATAGGTCTAGATGCTCCCTTTTGATCATTTTGCATTTCCGTGTACTTTTTCTTGCAGATTGTGGAAGAGATGCTGAAATGTACTAAAGTTTATGAACGTAGCAAGCACCGTATGAGACTCAGAGAAGTGGGATACTCTGGTCTGGGGCTCCTTCTGAATGAATCACCCGTTACTGTTTCTCTCATTAAAAACCTCCTTAACCAAGTTCTATATGCAGGTAATAGGGAAGTGTTGTGTCTACCATTAGTAAGCTTCTGCTTCTTAGAGGCAAACATATTAGTTTTTTTTGTTCAGGAAAAACAGAGCTGTTACCTTACAGAGCTGTTCTATTCAAAGTTCCCATTAGTCTCAGGTCATGTTTTCTTAGTTCCATGAAGTTTGTTCTTTTTACTACCCCTGGATGTAGAGGTGACCTCCAAGGCAATTTTTAATATTTAGCTGTTACATTCTCTTGCCTGATATTGTTTGTCTTGTTTTTGCTTTCTCCTCTACAGATCCTGCTGTGAATTATAAAGATCTCATAGCTGTAGTGCATCTGGCTCATAGATCAGATATAAACGTGAGAGTGGTTATCTGTAGAAAGGTTAGTTGTCTTTTAAACTGGAATACTGTCCTTTAAGCCCATGAGCTGTACAAAAAATCTTAATTTGTACAGCCCATGAGCTGTACAAATAATCTTAATTATTTGAGACACAGTATTAGTATTTGTTGCTACTGGTGTGTTCAGCAATGATTTATGTTAAAAATGAAGCCCATCTGTCACTGACTGTTAAATTTTGTATGTTCAAGACCTTTTAAAAATCAAAACAAAAAAAGCAAAGCCTCTATCATGATTCTCAAATAGCTTGTATTTTCTACAGGTTAGAGGTAGTAGACTCCTTGAATTACTGACTTTTCTCAAAGGAGGCTTAAGACCCTGATGAAAGTTTTTTGTTTGTACTTTCAACATGTTATTTTAGTAGAACATATTATGGTTTAAAAGAGTGCTTGTGGATGAAGGGAAGAAATAGGGAAGAAGCAGTGCCTTTTCGTAAACTGAGCTCTCTCTGGCTTGTATCACTGGTATTAGTAGTACTGAATGTAGCTGCGAGGCACTGTATTGTCTGTTAAGGTTCTCGAAGTAAAAAAAGTGAAATGATAATGTACGCTACTGGTAAGCTGTTAGTACTGCAGCTTTCTCAATTTTATCTATTTAATAGTTCCTAATCAAGCATATTTTCTGTTCTAGACTTTCTTCTAGACTAGTGGCTGAATAGGATTATTTGTTGTGATAACTGAATTTTGCAGGAATCTTTGCAGAAGAGTGGATGAAATATGAGGACTTACCAATATGCTTGGATAGCTTCTTTTCTTCTCTACTCCTGAGAATTTTTTTCTTTTTTCCCTTTTTTCTCAAATATGTATTTCTAATGAGAAGAAGATTTTGTGGCTTGTTTACAAGGTTCTAAAAAAAAAGGCAAAATTTGTAAGATCATAAAATGTCTAATTGAAAAGCTAGAATGAATGCAGTTACAAGCTAAAATTAATGTCTAGGCATGGGATATCTTCTCCTATCCTTAGGTTTTGCATATTTTGCATTCCCAATTGGATGCAGCACAACAGATTTCTCAGCAGCTGGGTTGGCAGGACACCTTGATTAGACTACTCCTGAAAGAAAACTCAGAGGTCCAGATTGGCTTTAAAGAGAACAGGGCTGATTCCTCAAGGGAAGAGGAAAAAAAGCCTCCTGTTGAAGAGCTTCAGAAACATCAACCTGAGAAGACAGAGGGAGACAAAATTGGCAGCTTTTCATCTGTTAATGGCCTGTTTGATCAGTGGAGTTTAGAAGACAGCAAATCCCTGGATGTCCCTGCTCACTTCTCTGTCATGCCACTGGAAGATGGATCCACAGCAGAGATGTCTTTTAGGTCGGAGGACGGAGAAGAATTGTGGCACAGTAATCCTTCACATTTAAGCTTAGATCTGTCAAGTGTCGACTCCTATGAATTGGCTGACATTGTGAATCAGATGACAGATAGCCAGCCCAGCACACCATCACCTATAGAGAACACAAAACCATTCTCTGGGCAGCCTGAAAAAGAGCTGGGAGTAATAAATGATGTGGGCTTCACTGCTGATCTTTCTTTATTTGAAAACCAAGGAGTAAGTAATTAACTCCCTGTGTGGTTAATTTCTCTGTCTGCAATTTCTTTCTATTTTTTTCATCATCTCCCTGATGGATAATTAGTGTCCTTTTTTTTTTTCCCCCTCCTATCTTCCAACAGAAAAGCAAACAATATAGCGCTTTCATACTTCCTTTTGTAATGTCTTCTTTTTTGGTTGTCAAATTGGAATGGCTTTGATGTAGAAAAACAAAAAAACCCAAAAAAACCACACAAACAAACAAACAAAGCTACAACCTCTCCCCTCCTATATTTCAACATCCTTTATCTTCAAAAGGAGGCATGGAGCAAGCTTGCTGTGAAAAAATCAAGGGTAGCTAAAGGTCAGTTTGAAATAATGATGTAGAAGTTAAATCAGTATGTATTACAACATGCAAGCAAGCCATAGTCTTTTATATTTGCATTTTCATATATTTAGCAATTGGACTTTAGACTGCGTAGTTTTAAAAAACGCTGAAACACACAAGCTTAGGGACTGTCATGAACGAGAAATATTTTGAAGGTTTTCTAGACTAGAAATAGGCTGTAAATATTTTTCTTCTTTTGTAGGGGGGTGATAATGAACTCATACAGTTACTTACAGACATACTACTGTGTATAATGTGGAAAGGCATTGAAAAGTCTGATGATGCTGCTTGGATTGAGAGAGGACAGGTGTTTTCTGCACTGACCAAACTGGGGATATCTAATGAGTTGCTGAGACCTTCTGATGAAATAAAACTCAAGTGAGTGTACAGTTCAAGGATGGGTTATTTCATCCCTTTGAGGAAAACCAGAAAAAGTAAGGGGCATTAGTGAAGCAGGGAGGGGGTGGGTGTTTCCCAACAAGGTTTTCTTTACTCTCTCTTCACATATTGTCCGAAGTATATTCCACTACCTATTTGGTATTGTCATGTGGCCATAAGATTTTGCAACTCTGTATCACTCTTTTCATGAGCTTCTCAAAATCTTTTTTACCTCATTGGTTTATTAAGAAGGCAGCAGTTATGTCACTGCAGATGAAGAGATTCAATTAAATACTTAATTGGATTTTTTTAAAGCCACTTACACTCAGACCATGTAATAATTACTTTGGGATTTTGTTTTCCATGCAGGTTGCTGGAGAAGATGTTAGAATGGTCAGTCACTGATAACAGAGATTCAAAAGCTCTCCCTACACATGCTGAAAATGCCTTCAAGCTCTTGCTAATTGTACATGATTTCCTGCAGGCTGAAGGACTAGTTAATTCAAATTTGTGGACAGAAAAGGTACAGCAACTGTATAGTGGAAATACTGTATATAGGCTGAAATAATAATGAAAAAAGTTGTCAGCTTGGATACTGTCATCCCTTCTAGGCATATGTTTTAAAACTATAGATATTACAGAGTAAGTGTTCATTGTGGAATTGATTAGATTGCCCCTTAATGAGAAAAAAGAGTATGAATACTTACTACAGGGAATATTTTGCAAATTAAGTAGGCCTACAGTGGTACTCTTTGTTGAAAATCCATATCTCCTCAGACTGGAGAAATATTTAGAAAATGTAGGAGCTTGTGGAACAGTGTCAGTTGTAGCCTAAGCAGATTTTGCACCGTTTGTGAGCATGTATGACTCATTTTGTGTGTCCTGAATAAAAAACCAGACAAAATTCTGCTCTCAGTTGCAAGCTGAGAAATGTCACTTCTGGGCTTTGACCCATACTGGAGTTGCAACATGATTTTGTGCATATATAGGCAGATAGGTCAGTTTTATATATCAGAAGTCAGAAGAGTCAGAAACATGAGGTCTGGGGAAAAAAATTAGCACACACAATTAAGTAGTTTAAGTAAAGAAGGTTTCTGTCACATGGCTGTTTCTCCTGCCTTCTTGACTTATATGTTGTAGACACATGATTTCCCTCAACATTTATGTGATTTCTGGCATGGTCTGACTTTCTTCACTGTCTGACTTGTCATTGCTTTTCCATTTTTTGAGGATAAAGAAGAGAGCTGTTATATGGAAACCATCGTTATATCACCATAAATCCTTTAAAAAAAATCAAGTTTTTTAAGGCTGCTTTTTTTGATAAAGAAGTATAATGTTAAAACTCATCAACACGGAGAGTAATTCCTAAGCTGTTCTCCAAAATGCCTGCTTATAAGTAAAGATAGCTTAATCTTAAAGCTTTTGATTGTTTTTGAAAAGTCTCCTCTTGGTAAGAGCTTTGCCTTTTGTTCTGATCTAGCTTTTTGAAAACTAATTAGAAATTGGATCTGAACTTCGGAGCAATACGAGTTATGCTTGTTGCCAACTGTGAATTGAAAATAACAGTACTTTCATAGGTTATCTCCCACTGTGCCTGAGGAGAATTTAAAGCGCTGCAATATTCTAAGCAGGACAGCTTTCAGTCTGCCACAGAAGCATTCATGTGATTCTGAGCCTTAACAAAAGAATGATTTTACATTTGAGTACTTTATTAGGCAATGTATCAAGGTATATTGGTTGTAAGCAAACATGTCTGGATAGTAAAATGTGCCATTTGCCTTGTGAATACCTACCTACCCTTCACAAGGTTTGTATCACTTCTAGTGTTGAAATACTGACAGAAAGGAGTCCCTCCTAATTTTTTTAAAATTTATTTTTTAAAAGACATAAGTTGTTATGAAGTTTCAAGCATTTCACTAAATCAGATATCCATGAAATAAATTGTTTTGTTCTTCTCAAGGCACTGTGCACATTTCTATTGCTGGTAAAGTATATTAACATTACACTCAAATAATTTAAAATACAAAGCAAAAGAATGAAATAAAATCTTGTATATACTCAATCCAAAAATTGCAATTTGGTGTGGTATCTGTAGTATTAATAATAGTGTCTTTTCAATTGTAGTAATCCTGCTTGTGGAGTCTCTAACTTTTCTAAGGAAATGGCATTTACTGGTGTTATGTTATAGGATAAACATAAGCATTTATACTATAAGCTGGTTCTGACTTTATTCAGGGGAGACAACTTGAGTTTACATACCAGGCTAGATAGATTTTTTTTGTAGTGAGGAATTGCAGTGTCCTGGGATAATTTTCTGGTAAGTTAAAAGTGTGAACGTGGCCTCTTTTTCAGCTCTTTGAAATGATTGTGTCTCCAGCTGGAGTAGTTGGTTTTAACTTTATTTCATGCAAATCTTCTGTTTTTACAATAGCTCTTGGAGGAATTAGTGACTCTCATGGATAGCCTGTCAGTCTGGTACTCTGCTGGACTAGAAGCAATCAGGCTTTCCCAGGTGCAAGTCCAGTTGCTCCTTGGATTCATTGCACAAGATAACTTACAGGTTTGTTGCAAATTCCTGCAAGTGGTAGTGTTTTAAGTGCATGTTTGATGTAACTGTTGTGGTTTATGGGGGCACTGCTCATAGCAGTGAGCAGACTGATGGCAGTCCTTCATCCTTCTATAGGAAAGATGTTCTATTGGTTATTATCATTTGCAGATTTACTCTATAGTCCTGCCAATGGGCACATTCTGAGCATGAGGTTAAGAGGTAAAGGGCAAGCTGTTTGAAGATGGGACTATGTAGGCACTAGTGGAAGTAAGATGGTGATTCTGATAATGAATTTTGTTTCTACTGTAAAATACATTTATTAGCAGTTTCAGGTTTACATACGTTAAATGCACATGAACCTGGACTGTTCTGAAAAAATCAACATTTGGAATAAAGTGAGCAGAGCTGTGCCTGGAATTTGAGCCCTTCAGTAAAGCCAGGATTGTTAGTTTAGGTATGTGATGGTCTTAAAGCAGCTGTGTAACTTTGGAGGTGCAGCTGACTCAGATTTGGTCATCACAGTATAAGTGATCAGTGCCACTTTTTGGTGCATGTGTGCCTCAGGCTACCTGGGATGAAGCCAGAATATGTACATACTCCTGTGCTAAAGAGATAGGTGCCCAAAATCACTGTTTTCAGGATTGCATTCATTTTTTGTTTCTGTAGGTCTGTGCTATGGCAGCAGCCAAACTAAACACCCTCCTTCAGACCAAAGTAATTGAGAGCCAGCCTGAAGCATGCTACCTCTTGGGGAAGCTGGAAGGCATCTTGAGTAGATCAATTGAAGAGAAGACCGAAACTTACTCATTTTTGATTCCCCTTGTTCGGACACTGATATCCAAGATTTATGAACTTCTCTTCATGAACCTGCATCTCCCTTCATTGCCTCCTACCAATGGCAGCCCATCTTTCTTTGAGGACTTTCAAGAATACTGCAGCTCTGATGAGTGGCAAGTTTATATTGACAAATATGTAAGTAGTAGATTCTTTTTGTATCATTTCTCCCCCTCTTTTTAGCCATGAAATCAGAGGAACTAATTCAGAAATCGCATTGTGCGTTTTGTTTTGTTTTGTTTTGGTGGAACCAGATTATTCCAAATATGAAGCAGTATGAGGAAAATTCATTCAAACACGATCATAAGCAGATGGCACTTTATTGGAAAGATTGTTATGAAGCATTTATGGTGAACGTGCACAAGCGAGACCGGGAGAGAGGAGAAAGTAAGCTTAAATTTCAGGTAAGGTTTTCAGTGAGTGCACGTTGCTCTTAGAATTATCTCAGCAGTTACATTCTAAAAGATGGAGAAACTGTATTCCAGGATGATCCAATTCAAGTGATTGCAGGCAGGTTGATTGTTTTTAAGATTTTGGGGGCTGTGTGACTATATATACTTGGAGGAGATGCTTTTTAAATTCTATTCTTCTATTTAATGGTCTTGGCTATAAGCAGAGTTATTTCAGGACAGTAGGCCTTTCTTGTAGTACAGCAACCTAGAATTATGCTCAGCTATAAACTGCATCTTGTTTTACTCTGATTTATGTTTGAATTATTAAAACCTCTTCTCCATTATGAGATGAATCAGTGTGGTTGTTGTTTTGTTTTTTTTTAACCCTACTTCAATACAATGAAAACATTTAAAATGGTGAACAGTTCTTATTTAATGTGTGGAAAAAGTGTTTCTGAACTGACTTTTCTGTATAAGGTCCAGACTCAGTTTAAGCGTTAGAATTAACTGGTAATTGCAGCAAATGTCATACACAGCTAAGTTACGTTTCTCATGTTTTCCCTTTGTTTTATTAATAAGGATCGTTGTAGTAAGTCTTTTTTATTCAAATACCTAAAGGTAGAATACAATATGAGTCACATTCTAGAATACCAGAGTTTAAAGAAAAGTCCTACCTATTATAGTAGGATTTCCAGTCCTGACCACTTTTCTGATGATGAAAAATGGCTTTCACGTAGATTCAGCATTGATAACCCTTTCTTCATGTCTTGTAAGTTGAAGTTTGGTGGCACCTCGTCCAGTACTAAGCTTTTAAAAATTCCTCTTGTAAGCATTACCTTAAATTTTCAGAAATTTTTACTGCTAAACTTTTTTTGTTCTTTCTTAATTTATGAGACTTCTTGCAAGCCACAAACCTGTGTTTTCAGAGGTCAGAATTACTTCAGTGTTAGACTGATTTTTAATGGTCTTTCAGGAGCATTTTGTGAAACCATTCAACAAAAAGGCTCGACAGGAAAATCTGCGGTACAACAGTATGCTAAAGCAACTCAGTAGTCAACACACAGCTACTCTGAGACAGTGGAGAACAGCTCAGCTTTACTTGTTCTCTGAACGCGGCCCTTGGTCTGAAATGTAAGAGTGAAGTTCTTAAACCATATATGATGCTTAAAAAGAATTTGCTCACATGACTAACTTACTGTTTCGTATGGTTAGGACCTTGTCAAATTGACTCTGGCAATGATTCTTGAGATGTGAAGTTAATAATGAATGCATCTTTTATAATTTTTTCTTCATTTAATTATCAAAATGCAGCGTTTGAAGTGCAATGCTGATCTGGTTACCTGCTTATTAGATTTTCCTGCCAAGTGACATAAAAATTAGTTATCGATGAAGCAGAAACTTCTTGAGACATCCTATGGATCAGGGGTTCTTTTGGAAGAAAGAGAATGGACTTTATTAATAAGGACTGAGTTTTTATGCATGAAGTTAATTTGAATTTAAAAGAATACATTTTGCCTGTTGTAGCTTTTGAGGAAGTTGTGGATAAAGATTTTTTTTTTTCAGTTTAATTGTCATTAACTGCAAGTGTAGATAATTTGATGTATTTCAGTAGAAATAAATACTGTTTACACAGTGCTTTAGGATGATCAGAGCTGCAATATGAAATATAAAATTAAAATGCAATTTTTTGCTTTTGTGTTTTACAATGTACTAGTGAACAACCAACATTTTTCTGAATATGTACTCTTTTGTAATCAGTTCATTCATATAGGTCTTTACCTTCTTTTAACCATTTTTATGAATATTCTTGTTTTCCTAGGAAACAGGATCCTATTCACTGGAAACTTTCAAATGTGGAAAATTTTTCACGTATGAGACTAAAACTAGTGCAGAATTACAACTTCAGCTCTCATCAGGATGCTAGTGACCTGAGAGATAATTTAGGTAAAGTTGTATTCTATTTGCTATTTCACTTGTGATTCTTCAGTCTTTGCTGAAGAAAGATACACACTTTACTCTTTGTATTTAAGAATCAGTGTATGGTAGATAGTTAAATCTTGATTTTTCTTTATTTCTTCTGTGGTAAAATGTGTAACATAAGGGTGGTGCTTTGACCTGAAACAGCATTTTCCTCCTGAGTAGAATGAATTTCCCCTTGTTCATTGAAATGTGCATTTTTGTTGGGGGAAAAAAAAAAAGTTGAATAACTCCTTTGTCTTAAATTAAGCAGTCACGTAGCTTTGTTGCGTAACATTATTTTTTTCAAGAAAATTAAACAATGAGATCAGAGTATGCAGGCTGTATTTGTTTAAAATCTTTTAGAGCTTATGATTAAAATGTGTAGATATGAAGTGCTTTATTTCAGAAGTGTGCCAAACAGCTGAGTTAGTGGTGTAAAATGTTCTTTAAGTTAGGTGTATATCAAGACTCAAACAAAAAAATAACACTCTTGTAAACCTAAATAAGCAAAAAAGAAATGCAGTATGTTTCCATGAAATCTGCATACTTCAACAGTGCCTGGCAGAACACTGCAAAATATTTTATTGGAAATGTCCAAATTAGAATTTGGTTTAAAATTTTCCAATATGTTTGTTTTCCATTTAGACTGTTATGATTGACATGTTTCTGTGTAGTCCAGGAAGTATTTTTAGTGTTCTGTTGCCCCCAAAAGTATTTAAGAAGTCTGGTTGCTTGTTACTCAGTTAGTTTAGCTTTCCAAAAGTGCTGTAGCAAAAAATTTTATGAGCTGAAATGTCTATTTATAATAGGTGTGCAGCAGACACAGCCCTCTAGTGAGTCTCTGCTTCTGGAGGTGGTGAAGCAGGTGAAGGTGAGTGACTTGGAAGACGATGTTCTTGAACTACCAGAAGAAGACACAGCAGCCAGTTCCAATTTGTAAGTACAGCAGAATAGAATGGTTGAAATTTGTTTCTCTGACAGGGATAAGGAGTGAGAGACAACTTCTAGAGTTGATTAGTATACAAAGCTTCTCTCTTTCATTGTCTGACCTTAACAATCCAATCCAGGGCTTTGTAGTGGTTTTGAACAGCAGAAAAGTTGCTGTTGGATTTATCATTGTCAACAATGAGACATAGAGAGCCCTGGGGAAAAGAGAACAGATGTTTGTGAGGATCTGTTAGTAATTCACTGCTCGCAGTTGATGCCGAAGCGACAAACTGTTGAAGCTTTTCTACTATGTACATTGGCTATAATTCTCAAGAGGCGGTCTGCCCTGTAAGGGCATAGGCCAGGCTGGAACTGGCTGTTGTCGACAGGTGCCAGAGCCATCCCCTATGCCATCAGCTGCATAGCATGGAAGTCTGCTTGATTGGCTTTAGTCTGCTAAAGAGTCCCCTGTGTTTAAGAACATGCCAGAGAGAAGGCCTGCTGTGCTTCCTTCATGTCACTTGTGTAACTTGAAGAAAAAAAAAAAAAGGCGGGGGGGGAGGGGAAGGGACAGGGGAGATAGCAAATGCTTCACTCCAATAACTGGACATGTGATGTGAATGCATCTATGTGTGTCTATGCTATTAAAGTCCGGTAGAGATGGGGCATTTTTACACACTTCTATACAGAGCTTTTGCAGATTTGGCAGCTACTGGTTGGATACATTAATCCTTAGGATCTTAACAACAAGGTTGCTCTTGATTAGCTTTAGTCCTGGGAACGCAACCTTTAAAATAACTAAGTCATACTGATTATTTACTTTCAGTTCCTCCTTATCTCACTTACATTCTGCATAATTGCCTATATTCACATTCCTTGCTGTTGTTTTTCTTCTTCATGATCCTTTAGTACAAATCAACTAAATGACCTTCTTCTGAAAAGGCTCCTACAGACTTTCTTGAGTGATACTGATTCATTTTCTTGCACCTTAAAAGTTATCAAATGCTTGCTTGTGATGTGTTGTATCTATAGGCTTCTGAGCAGCAGTTACTTCAAATAGTTCTGAAGATAACTCTGGTCACATGAACCAGGACTCAGCTCTGATTTGGGCTAGAGAATTTAACTACCTAGCAATTAAACAAGAAAGGGAAATGCAGCCTCATGTTCTCATACGTCAAGTCCATTGTGCCTGAGACTGAAATATCAAGCCTGAAGAGCAATGCTATCAAATGATGTTTGGTAGTCTAGTCTGAAACATTCAAGACTGCTGATGGAAGTAGCTTCATATGATCATTTATGTTGTACTTAATGCCATTCAAATTTAATTCTTTTCTGAACTGTACTTTTACTAAGTATCTAAGCAACTGTATAGTCTACCCAACCCTGTAACTCTTAGTGGTATTTTTATAGGGATGAGAAGGATGAGCAAAGTCAGAAAGAAAAGCTAATGTTGTCTGAAGACTGTGAACTCGTTACAGTAATTGATGTGATACCTGGCAGGCTGGAGATTACTACCCAGCACATCTATTTCTTTGATGGTAGCATTGAAAAAGAGGAAGGTGAGCATGATCAGTATGTCTTTCTTTTTAGTACAGTTCAGAATTCTGTTTTCAGTAGGCTGAGTTTGATTTTTTGAGAATGAGTGCCAAACTGATTGTGAAGAGACAAGTGGTGGATCTGTACTTAAAATTAGTATTGTACTTGGTGGTCAGTGGCTGGCTTATCCCTTCAGAATCAAGAATCTGGAACTGTACCTGCTGAGATTGGTACACTATTGATTGATGCACTATTCTTAGTATTTCTTTTAAAAATTAGCTTATTTAAAAAAAATAATTAAATTTGCTGACTGAAGAAAAAGTCGTTACCCCTAATTTGCTGCTTAAATGGCACCTCTCTGTTCTACCTGACAAATAATGTTTCACACATATCTTGTTTAAAAGTAGTAGTGAGTAATGATTAAAAAGTAGTGGTATGTAAACATTAATCATCTATATTAATTTAGTGAACTTTAATAGTATATACATAATTGAGTATAAAACCCTGAATTTAAATGTTTCACCAACAATGGTAAAATTTTCACAAAATGTGTATCAAGAAGTTAGACTTTTGGGGATTCTAAACATAAATGTTTCTATTTCAGCCTGTTTAAGAAAGCAAAGGGGTTTGGTTCATGTTTTTTGTCCACAAAGTATATTTATAATGTGTCTTTGATCATAAAGCAAAAACAAATTCTGCACTCCATCAGATATTTCCTGCTTCCTCTTTCTTTCAGCAGAACAATAGCTGAAGTTGATAATATTTTCCTAGTAAAATGGTTAATCAAGCCATATATAAAATTTGCCTTTTCTAGGAATGACTCTGGGGTGATTGGAAATGATACTTCATTGTCTTTGTGAAAAGTTTTTTATATATTCCAAGTCAATAATCAAAGTACTCTTCCTAGGGGTAGGTTTTGATTTCAAATGGCACCTTTCTCAAATTCGAGAGATACATTTACGTCGGTACAACCTGAGGAGGTCAGCTTTGGAGATCTTCCTTACAGATCAAACCAACTATTTCCTCAACTTCAATAAGGAGGTATGAGTTTCCCAGATTTCCTTGATTTATATAATTAGCACAAGTGTTAAGTGTAAGTTCACTGATTGAGTCTAATTTGAGTCATGTTTTTCGTAATACTGTATTATAGAATCATAGAATCATTACGGTTGGAAAAGACCTCAAGGATCATCAAGTCCAACCCACACCACCTAACTCACTAAACCATGTCCCTAAGCACCACATCTACACGTTTCTTGAACACCTCCGGGGATGGTGACTCCACCACCTCCCTGGGCAGCCTGTTCCAATGTCTGACCACTCTTTCAGTGAAGAAATTTTTCCTAATATCCAGCCTAAACCTCCCCTGGTGTAACTTGAGGCCATTTCCTCTTGTCCTATCACTTGTTACTTTAGAGAAGAGGCCAGCACACACCTCACTACAACCTCCTTTCAGGTAGTTGTAGAGAGTGATAAGGTCTCCTCTCAGCCTCCTCTTCTCTAGACTGAACAACCCCAGCTCCCTCAGCCGCTGCTCATAAGACCTGTTCTCTAGACCTTCACCAGCTTCGTTGCCCTTCTCTGGACCTGCTCCAGCACCTCAATGTCCTTCTTGTGGTGAGGGGCCCAAAACTGAACACAGGATTCAAGGTGCGGCCTCACCAGTGCTGAGTACAGGGTAACAATCACTTCCCTAGTCCTGCTGGCCACACTGTTTCTGATGCAGGCCAGGATGCCGTTGGCCTTCTTGGCCACCTGGGCACACTGCTGACTCAGTACTGTAACACTAGTAGCAAAAGTTTTGCTAGATAATAGCCATTATGGAAAACTAGACTGCAGTCTGTGAAAACCTCATCTGGCATCTAGAAACCGATTAATTGTGAAAAGATGGATAAAGCAAGATTCTTCTTTTCCTGTCTGTCTCTTTATCTGTTATGATACAGAACAATCATTCAGCTGAAATTACATCAGTAGTAATCTAAATATCTTGAAGCTCACACACCCTTTAAATATTCTGAGGAAACTAACTACAAAGCAGAAAAGACTTCCTGTTTTACTGCAACATTGGAAATTGTTGCTATTTCTATATTCTCTGGTTTGGGATTAGTGAACTTTTTTTTTCTCCCTGGTTAATGTCAGTGATCCTTTGTATGTGGGACTAAGATAAATATCAGAACTTAGGGTGAATTACATACTGGTAGGTCAGTTTATGAATAGCTCCTATAAAAAGTTGTTGATGGTTTTTTTTAAGTAAATAAGTCTTTGCAATAGTTTTGTAGGGA